TTAATATATAAAAACATATGTGAGCCGAGACCAGTTTGGCTCAGTGGATACAGCGTCGGCCTGCAGACTGAAGAGTCCCAGGTTCGATTCAATCAGGGGCATGTACCTTAATTGCAGGCACATCCTTAGTGGGGGATGTGCAGGAGGCAGCTGGTCGGTGTTTCTCTCTCATCAATGTTTCTAACTCTCTGTCCCTCTTCCTTCCTTTCTGTAAAAAATCAATAAAATACATTTTTTAAAAAGAAAAAATTATTTTAAAATATATATATATGAATATATATATGAATCATTTTTATTTAAAACTAAGACTCCAAGAGCCAGTATATCATTCCAAAATGCTTTTAGATGGTCGTTTCAAATATTTTAAATTCTTTATTCCAGTCCCTGCATTCATATCTCTAGAGGAAATTTACCTAGTACCCATTCATCTAGCTGGTTTCTTCCAAACCCCAAGCCTTCCCTTCCTACTCTGCCACCACCTCCATGGATGCCTTTTCTACCTCAGATCTGTCCCCAGTTCCTGCCCTGGACTGAAGTCATACCAGATCACATCTATTCTTTAACATAAGAGGACTTACATTACTTCTGTGGTGAGCCAAGTCTCTTTTTGTTCCATAATGTTTATCATTTACTTTTTCTTTTTAATCTTTCCTAAGGCTTGGCCCTTTACAAACTATTGATTATGCTCTGAAGTGTATTGTTTTGGCTCTGAAGCTTATTTTAAAGATGCTCTTACTTTTACATATGAGAGTGCTTCTTTTTGTCTGTCCAGTTGCAAATAAAAGGCCACCAAGGACAGCTTTCCCCTGAGCCATGGCATCCCAGTCGAGGAATGTTCCTTGGAGCTTTTTTCTTTTCTTTTCTTTTCTTTTCTTTTCTTTTCTTTTCTTTTCTTTTCTTTTCTTTTCTTTTCTTTTCTTAAGAAATAAACAACAAAGATATATTCAAGGTCTTAGAGTTTGAAAATACAATTAGACAAAAACCCAGAAGTGTTCTGAAGAAGAAAGGAAAGTTATAAGTTCTTATAGAGACTAATCAGTTCTGTATTCTTTGTTGGTCCAAAACACTTATCAGTTGAATGTCAGGCGGTCTGGGTGATGGATGCCAGGTAGTCTGGTCATGTAAGACCTGGGTGACCCAGAAGGTGGTATTTATAAATAGTTCTCCTGGCCCTCTCCTTAAAGCTTGTCCAACTAATCCTCTCCTCTCTCAAGATTGGAAGTGACTTGCCATTTGAGTCTTAAATTCTCTGAAAAATCTGGTTGGCAAAAAGCTGTCCTAACAAAAATGTTTTCAGCTAGATGATGACCGGCCATCAAAGCTTACCTTTCATTTCCAACATTTTTAGCCAAATATGCTCCCTCTTTAGAGGACCAGATTTTCTTATTATTTTTCTAAGACACCTACCTCAATATTTTTTTTCCTTCTTACTAATAGGCTATCATGGATTTGTATTTTTAGTATTTATAAAGCTGTTCCCAAATGTCTGCATCTCCACCATGAACTCAGCACCTTCCTTTTTACCCTTAAACCTACTGAGCGTGGAGGGTCTCTAGTGGCCTCAAGCCTATCATCGTTGGATGGAGCTCTGTTTTTATTTAATTTTGAATTATTTATTAAGGCTCTTCTTTGCTGACCTGGGCCAATGACAATAATGCTTTTCTGGGAGCTGCTAGGTCTGATCCAGTTGTTGCTTTATGAGGGAAACCCCTTATTTCAGTAGTCTTGCCCCCACTTGAATATGAGCCTGGAACTTTAGTAGAAGTAATTTTATTTTTGTTATTTAAGAAAGTCTGCTGAAACCGGTTTGGCTTAGTGGATAGAGCATCAGCCTGTGGACTAAAAGGTCCCGGATTCGATTCCGGTCAAGGGCATGTACCTTGGTTGCGGGCACATCCCCAATGGGGGTTGTGCAAGAGGCGGCTGATCAATGATTCTCTCTTATTGATGTTTCTATCTCTCTATCCCTCTTTCTTCCTCTCTGTAAAAAAATCAATAAAATATATTTTAAAAAAGAAAGAAAGAAAGGAAGGAAGGAAGGAAGGAAGGAAGGAAGGAAGGAAGGAAGGAAGGAAGGAAGGAAGGAAGGAAGAAAGGAAGAAAGAAAGAAAGAAAGAAAGAAAGAAAGAAAGAAAGAAAGAAAGAAAGAAAGAAAGAAAGAAAGAAAGAAAGAAAGTCTGGTGTCCACTATGGCTGGATTGGTACATAAGAGACTTTCTGTAGAGGAAGAATGAAAAACATGCACAAAGGAGGTCGAATGAGTAGTGTATCTTCTGAAAACCTTAGGCTTAAATGTCTAAGGCCATTCAGTTTATTTTTTTAAATATATTTTTATTGATTTCAGAGAGGGGGAGACAGAGAGAGAAACATCAATGATGAAAGAGAATCATTGATTGGCTGTCTGTGCCGGTATCCTTCAGTCTGCAGGTCAATGCTCTATCCACTGAGCCAAACCAACTAAGGCTAAGGCCATTCTGTTTAGATCTGAGCTCAGAATGGACTTGCTAGAGCAGTATTGTCTATTGTTTTATTTCTCCAGATAGGGAAGCTTTCTCTTAATCCCAAAATGGGTAAACATATTTGTAGTCATTAGAACTGTAAGACATGGCCTAAACAAGTGTATACTTTTGACTTGCTTTTTAATTTAGTTGTTTAAAAAAAAAAAAGTGGAGTTTAGAAATATGAAGCAGAGAGAAAACCACCTCTATATAGAAGAGCAGCAGTACCTGGCGATGTAATGAGCACAGGGGAGCTTGTTAGGAATGCACTCCAGGCGAAGAGTAGCACAGCCAACACAACTTAAAGCACTGGGGGGGGGGGGGGGGGGGGGCGTGGTTCACAAGCAGGTGGAGGGCACAGGAAGCTAGTATACCCGTCACATTCAAGGCACTCTGCTGGATAACCTTTAGTTATCTTTTGTGACTTTTCTTATACAACAGCAAAATGTAGAAATAATCTTTCCAATGAGTTAAATGTAGTGCCATTACATACATAATGATCCTAAAAACCGTGTTAGACCTACTAACCACATTTAGAGCGTTGGTTCTGTTTCGGTCAAGCACACGTAACGTTGGTTGCAGGCTTGATTCACAGCCCCAATTGAGGATGGGGAGGGAAAGAGGGTAGGAGGCAACCAATCAACGTGTGTCTGTTTCACATCGATGTTTCTCTCTCTGAGTTTCTACCCCGCCTTTCCACTCTCTCTAAAAGAAATCAATGGTGCCAAAACCGGTTTGGCTCAGTGGTAGAGCATCGGTCTGCGGACTGAAAGGTCCCGGGTTCGATTCTGGTCAAGGGCATGTACCTTGGTTGTGGGCACATTCCGGTGGGGAGTGTGCAAGAGGCAGCTGGCCGATGTTTCTCTCTCATCGACATTTATAGCTCTCTCTCCCCCTTCCTCTCTGTAAAAAAATCAATAAAATATATTTTTTTTAAATTAAATCAATGGGAAAAAAATATCGCCAAAACCGGTTTAGCTCAGTAGATAAAGCATCGGTCTGCAGACTGAAAAGTCCCAGGTTCGATTCCGGTCAGGGGCATGTACATGGGTCCGGACACATCCCCAGTGGGGAGTGTGCAGGAGGCAGCTGGTCGATGTTTCTGGCTCTCTATCCCTCTCCCTTCCTCTCTGAATAAATCAATAAAATAAAAAAAATAAAAATATATATTCTGGTTTGGATTAACCAAAACCAAAACAAACAAAAAACGGTGTTGTTCAGGGTTGTCAGCTGCAAGCTACCCAAAAACAGTGGGAAGGGCTCAAAGGCTCTCTGGGGCTTTGGAAACTGACTGGCAGTGGAGGACCAAGGCCCATAGCAGTGGTCACACTGCAGGAATGGCCAGGTTGACACTACCTGCTGCCTCCCCCCTGAAGAACTTCTGGCTTTTCCTCAAGTCCTGTGTGACTACAGTTTCAGAACCCAGAATGAAGTACCCAGATGTCTTAGCCTAATTATGTCCTTGCCTCCAGCTGCAGGGCCAGGAAAAAAGGTTCTGGATCTTCTAGTTGCTATAGTGCAAAGCACTCACTGCCTCCCATTGGGGAAGGGAGGCTGCAGTGTGCTGCTGGGAAGAGGATTTGGTTGCTAGACAGGGGAAAAAAAAAAAAAAAAAAAAAAGAACATAAGCTATATCAACTATTTGAATTGAAGCTCAATTTCTTTACAAATATTAACCATCTTTCACCTCCATGCATGGATATTAATCTTCTTTTCCTTTAATGATTTGTCCATAGTTTTTAAAAACTAAACAACAACAACAAAAAACCTTTGTTTCCATTTGAACTACTTGGTTCTGCTATCAAAATATATATTTTTGCCAAAGCTGGTTTGGCTCAGTGGATGGAGCGTCGGTCTGCGGACTGTAGGGTCCCGGGTTCAATTCCAGTCGCGGGCATGTACATTGGTTTTGGGCGCAGCCCTAGTGGGGGGTGTGCAAGAGGCAGCTGGTCGATGTTTCTCTCTCATCGACGTTTCTAGCTCTCTATCCCTCTCCCTTCCTCTCTGTAAAAAATCAATAAAATATATATTTTTTTAAATGTATATTTTTTCTAGATTTTTTTTTTGTTCTCTGTGTGTCCTTTTTAAATCTTTTTAAAATTTATTTCAGAGAAGAAGGGAAGACAGACAAATAGAAACTTTAGTGATGAGAGACAATCATTAATCAGCTGCCTCCTTATGCCCCCCACTGTGGATCGAACCCACAACCCCGGCATGTGCCCTGACCAGGAATTGAACCATAACCTTCATAGGTTGATGCTCAACCACTGAGCCACACTGGCGGAGCTGCACTGTTCATTTTTTACCTCTCTCTAGATGTGTGAAATCTTTGGTTCTTATGTTATAGATGAAAATAATCTCCTCCAGGTTACATGCTCCTTCCTTTACATGTCTTATGGACTTGCCTACACAAACTTATTGGCTTGGATGGCACTTAGCAGTTAGGCCAAGTACAAAGAAGTCACTTTTGGTGCCTTAATTTTCCTCAATATATTTGATCAGAAATTGGATGAACCTCCGGGATGCTGAGACAGGGAAGATACTCTGGCAAGGAACGGAAGACCTATCAGTCCCTGGAGTGGAGCATGAAGGTATTTCCGACCCTTTGTCTGCAAAGCTCTTGATAATTGGCGAGCAGGGCCTAAGCATTATAGAGTTAAGTCCATGCAGACCTAATGGAAGGGTGAGCCCTGGAGGCACAGCACATTAATCTACATGTTACTGAGATTTCTAGTTTCTTTCTTGTTTCTGTCTCCCAATTCCCAGAATCCACTTTGTGTTGAAATTTTAGCATTAGAATATACCTAAAGATATAAACTAAGACTCAACTATTTCCCCCAAATAAAATTTGCATTTTAATCTCCCTGAAATAAAAAGAAAAACTAAGCGGTTAAAACCAATAGAACAGAGTAGAGAGAAGGTGCCCATTCAGCTAGGTAAAACCCTTAAACGCACTAAATCTGATGTGCCTTAATGATCTTTCAGTCAGATACACTTTACCAATTGGGGACCTCTTTAATTAAAAGTGTAATTCTGTTACCAAGGCATTCTCTGAAATTAGACATAGAAAATGGGCTCTCTAAGTCAGTTTCCAGAAACTTGAAGCACCACAGTAATGTGCTTTAATTTAGAATGGCTTCAATATTTCTTTTTCTTTATCAGCCCGTGTTCCGAAGAAAATTCTCAAGTGCAAGGCAGTGTCTCGAGAATTGAACTTCTCTTCGGCAGAACAAATGGAAAAATTCCGCCTGGAACAAAAAGTTTACTTCAAAGGGCAATGCCTAGAAGGTATTCTGCTGCTCTGCGCCTGAAATCCATTCATTTTGCAACTCAGTTTGTAACAGGATTCCTACACCCTGCAAGATTGGGGACCCCAGTGAGAATAATCAGAAACAAAGCTGGCACTATAAGGGGCTTTGAGCTCAACAAAAGGTTTCTGACACTATGGGCCAGGCATTGGTGCCTGCTTTGACGGTCACAGCGAAGCTGCTAACTAGGGTCTGGTACAGGCTCTCCAGAGTCTCACAGATTTGACTGGCAGGGCCACTCTGCATTGAGTTTTCACCATGAAGTATGAGTGCACATATGTGTCCTAGAGCTACAATTCCAGGTGAAAAGGCCTATTCTATACTTCTGTTCTATCCTTCTATTTACATCCAGCCTTCTAAGAAAACTTTGCTTATACTGTATTCACCCACTGGTCCTAGTTCTTTAGACTCAAGAGCATAGGGCCTAGGCCTCTAGTGTGGTTCAGACGACAGCCTAAGGGAGTCCGTTTCTATGCCTCTGTGCTGGGAGGCTTCTGATGGCTTCACTGGTGGTTCTCAAGGTAAAAAAGAGGTTCGCTCTAAAGGAGGGGGACAAGGAGCCCTGAGACTCTATCTGAGATGCCCACTGATCCAGTTTTCCTTCTTCCTGCAGAGTGGTCCTTCGAGTTTGGCTTTGTGATCCCGAACTCCACAAACACCTGGCAGTCCCTGATAGAAGCAGCGCCCGAGTCCCAGATGATGACCGCCAGCGTGCTAACGTGAGTGAGCAGGCTGCAGGAATTGTGGATGTGTCTAGAAGCAGGCATTCCAGACAGGTGGGACTCATGGTCCTGTTCAGTGAGCAGGCAGCCTACTTTAAAAAGAGGTTAAAAGAATATCCACGGGTATCTGAGTTTACAGGTACTGACTTTTGTCATATGAAAAAGGCAGTGTGATCAAATGAAAAGGATAGAAAACTTTAGACCTTTAGAGTAAATTCCTGATGAAACTTGACGAGTTATGTAATCTTGGACAATCTATTTTACCTCTTTGGTCCTTATTCTTCTCTCTCCTTATAGAATTAATAATTCTCTCTCACAGAAGTGTAGTGAGAATAAAGTGAGATGCCTTAGAAGGAAGCTGGCATATAATATATATTATATTAAATCTATGCTAATTTCCTCCCTTTCCTGACTACCAAACTTCTGGTACTCTGTACTTTGTTTGAATGGCCTTTAACAGAATCTGGTAAAGTCCTAATTCTGTTTTAGAGATAATGTTTGGTTACAGTTTTTCATTATACCTTTCCGTATTAATAGCTATTCTTCCTACTCAAAAAATAATCACTTTGTCCTTTGTCCAAAAACACTGTCAATAACTGCCCACCCACCATTTTATCTTAAGAAAAAGATATTTGTCTTTTAAAGGTTTTAGTAAAGTGCCTAGTAATGAGTTAAGTCTTTAGTAGTTTTTTAATTACAATAGTAGGTATTTTTATATTCTATAAACCAGTCAGATCTTGAATTGCTTATTTATCTACCTTATAATTCATTATCAGCAAAAATGTATCTTCTGGCTATTAATTGCCCTGAGAAAATACAGCATAATATGTAGAAGGGCCTTTTTAGATTTTTATTAACCATAATGTGACTTTTTGGCCACGCCTGATTTCTTTTAGGTACTAGAACCAGTAAGTCTTTGATAATATATTTAGGTTATTGAAGTCATATGTTACTTTTTTTAGAACCCCAAAATAATACCTCTGTTGCCCTTACCTCGGTTCCCAACACCAATCTGTCATTCGGGGTTCTTTCGTTGCCAGCCATAGAAATTGACCCTGGCTAACATGACAGAGTTGAAAGGGCTGAGCTCTAGGCAACTTGAAGGTGGCAAAAATCTGTGGATGTTTTCTTCAAGGAGCAGCCATAAGGAAGGATCCTGCTCAAGGGAGAGAGCCTGATTGGCCAAATTACATCCTTTGTCCACCCTTTTGCCAGGAGAGGGAGGAGCCCCTTGATGGACCCTTGGACTGGAGATGGGTGGTTCCCCAAAAGAAGAGCAAAGTGCTATTATCCGAAGTGAGGAGAGCAGAGGAATGACAGTCCAACCACAGCAGTGTTGCAGGGAAAGATACCACCTCTGTGTATCAGAAAAGCAGTCATATTTATAAGCACCCTGTGTGCAGAGCACTCCACTAAGGGCTTGAAGTTGTACCAACGATTAAGAAATGCTCTCTCTTCTGATTTCTGAACCTGAGGAAGACAAACCTTGTCACATAAGTTAAATATCATATTAGACTTCTAACCCCATGTAGACACAGATTTGAATGTCCCCAAGCCAAGGTGCTAGGTGGATATATGTCCCAGGGGCCCATCAAACCCAGATTGAAATAACTTTCTGGAAATTAAATTTGTTGCCTAACACATCACTCTTTTGCCGTCTCTTCTTACTCACAGTGGGAATGTTATCATAGAGACAAAGTTTTTTGACGACGATCTTCTCGTAAGCACATCCAGAGTGAGACTTTTCTACGTTTGAGAGAAGAATGTATTGCATTTCAAGAATTTGGGTTTGGGGGGAAATGGAGGAAACTGTTTACTTTTTTCCTCCACACATTTGATTTTTGACACTTCACCCCTAACTCCCTCTACAACAAAACCCACCTTCGGCCACAAGGGGACCAGCTCTGCATAGGTAACCAGATGGCTTTTTCCCCTCAAGCTGCCATCTTCCGCTGACCAGCTAACTCCCCACCTCAGACCAGGGCAGAGGGCATGCCTCGACTCTTTCCCAGGGAAAACACAGGACAAACACACACTGGGAGCCAGTGCAGGAGCCGATGCTGTTCCTGTCACCCTCTCTGCCTCCTCCTTGGGTCCTACAGGGCACACATCTTCTTTTGGCCCCTGGCTTTGGAAAAATTCATGTTCTTGACCCATATTTAGTCTTTTCCTACCTTTTCTATTTCATACATTCTCATACATTTAACTTGTAAAATAGACTGTGATATTATTATGTAATGAATTGAAATATGAATTAAAATATTCCTACAGTCTTTAACATGGCACTGTTTTCATCTCTCCTTTTTCTGGATTGCAAACTTGGCTCCGTGATGAGAAAATGACATTTGTCAGACTGTAGGATCACAATTATGTTTTACTCCAGAGACCGGCTGATAGATCTTACGGTTCCTGAGTGCTTCAATTGCTGATTTCCAAGAATAGCAAGACCTATGACCTTAATACTTATCTTTTAGACATTATATCGATATTTAGTGGTTCTCTTTCACAGCATACATGCACCCTGTCTTTGTTTGTTTTTTTGTTTTTAACTTTTTCTATTTCTTTATAATGTTCATTTGTTTAAGAGGTTTCCAGAAAGAGTAGATGTTCTAAGTTGGTAGGGTAGGAACTATATTCCTAAATGAGAGAATAAGTTACAGAATGAAGAAAAGCTCTTCCTGAAGTTGACTGGAGAGCACTGGGAAAGTACCTGGAATGTTTTGGGATGCTGGAAGGCCGTGAAAATCAGTCAAAGAAGTTCATGTGGGAGAGAAGTGATTATACATCTATAGTGCTTTCCAGTCTGATGTGAGAGAGAACATTTAAAAGGGTTCTTTTTTAGGAACTTACCTCTGAGTTACCAGTACCCTCCACTATCCTTTATAAAATACCAATAATTAGTCCCTGGCCAGGTACCTCATCGTCCTGATATGCCAAAGTTGCAGGTCAAGGCCTGGACAGGGCACATACAAGAATCATCAAATGAATGCATAAATAAGTGGAACAATCAATGTTTCTTTCTTGCTCACTTCCTCCCTTTCTCTCTAAGAAAAAAAAAATCAATAAATATAAAATACCAACAATTAAAAGTTTTCAGGTTACCACGATAGGAAGTCCCGGGATGAGGAGAGTACCCTCAGAGACCTGCCCTCTGCCATAGCCCCTGCTCCCAGTCCCTGCTCTATTGCTGAAGGGGCTGTTTGCATTGGTGGACGGGAGGAGCTGTACATTTTTAGTATATTATTGCCATTTTTCAGAGACAGTTCTGTCCCTCACAGTAGATCTATTGTCTTAAAAGCTAAATTTTAATTATCAAAGATTGGATAAAATACTAGGTAAAAATGAGTGAATGTTTCCTTTGCTTTCTGAAAATGCCATGTCTTCTCAGAGTGAACTCATCTCCTTTCCTTTTCCTGAATCATATCTGCTCCCCAGAATTCTAACAGGCAGGACTATCAGGGGCCTGGACACATTCCAGTGGAGAAAGGACTTCCCTTCTCCTGGGTGTCCTGCTCCTTGCTTCTTTGAGGATCTTCATTTTTTTATAGCTACCTTATCCCTAAAATGTTTGTTGGTAGCATTTTTATTTATTTATTTTTTTAATTATTGCCTATTGAGAACATGCTACATGCACATTTTTTTTTTTTTATTGATTGAGGGAGGAAGGGAGAAAGAGAGACATCTATTTGTTGTTCCACTTATTCATGCATTCATTAGTTGATTATCATATGTGCCCTGACCAGAGATCAAACTCAAAATCTCATGTATCAGGACAATGCTCTAACCAACTGAGCTACCCAGCCAGGGCCTTATATGTGCATTCTTTAAGCATTACACATAATACATTCACTCCACACATATTTAATGAACACTTTTTATGTAGCAGACACTGTTCTAAATGATGGAGATATTTACTGGACAAGATGAGTCTGTCCCTACCATTAGATTCTAATGTGAGAAGACAGAAGGCAAATAATTTCAGATAGTAACCAGGGCTCTGAAGAAAACAGGACAGAGCAATGACACTATCCATCCGGAGTAAGCAGGTGATGAAAAAGGAAGTAGTTGGCGTTTAGCTTTTTTTTTTTTTTAAGAGATTTTTTTTAAGAGATTTTATTGATTTTTTTATAGAGAGGAAGGGAGAGGGATAGAAACTAGAAACATCAATGAGAGAGAACCATCAACCAACTGCCTCCTGCACATGCCCTACTGGGAATGTGCCCACAACCAATGTACATGCCCTTGACCGGAATCAAACCTGGGACCTTTCAGTCCACAGACCGATGCTCTATCCACAGAGCCAAACCAGTTTCGGCGGCATTTAGCTTTTGACCACCAAAATGGTTGACCAGTCCTCACCAAGCTAACAGCCTGGAAAGCCAGCCTCTACTAGAAAGAAAATATTTTTAAAAGACCCTTAAGCTATCATCAACAAAGCAGAAACCAGGTGTGCACACTTAATTGTCTAGTTTCCCACAAAGAACACAGAATCTGATAGGAAAGGCCCTGCCCTGTGTGAGAAAGAAGCCTGCCCCTTCCAGCCTGGTGTAGGATGGGGCCTGGCGTAGGATGGGGCCTGGTGTAGGATGGGGCCTGGTGTAGGATGGGGAGGAGAAATGAGGAGGAAGCAGGACAAAGGTGACGTCCTCGTTCTCCACCCCCAGCCATGGGTGGGAGGGGTGGATAGAAGTATCTGCCCGGAGGTGGGGGAAAGATGAGAACTTCAGGAAGTTCATGGGGAAGGATGAGCTGTCCCACAACGCAGTGGTCCAGGCCTATTGACTTTTCCTTACTAAACATGTCCCCCATTGTCCTCCTTCCCTCCTCCCCCTCCGCAGTTCCTATAACCATCTAGGGCTGGTCCAGGTGATGGCATTTGATTTATCCTTCACAATCAGAGAGAGCCCCAAGATGTGTATCTGATGGTCAATCCCTTTGTATTACCAAGTTATTTTTAGAACTTCTGGCTTAGTGACCTGGTTGTTGTTTTGTGGCTTTCAAAGTGCCCCGTTAAAATGGTCCTCAAAGTGAAGACATCATACGGTTTGCAATTCTTTCTGGTGCTTTTATTTGGTCTGAAACTGAGCAGCTTTGACTGTAGCTTTGAATAAATTGAGGAGCAGAATGGAATGGAGTGAAAAGCAGAGATTTGGTGAATTCATTAGGTTCCCAAACTGTACACAAAGGCCCCCTCTAGCTCTGCAGCAAACTCACAGAGGTGCTGCAGGATCTCTTAATTTTCAAAGGAAATACATCTGTCATATATTGCTCAAACTGTTAGCTCAAGATAGTTCAGTTTCAACAGTAGAACACACTACGTTCTTTTTTTATGAGGAATCTTTGGTAAACGAGGTTTTTGAAGGTTTTGGTGATAAGAAGCAATTACTGCCCTTCAAAAATAATGTGACTAGACAATAAGGATGGTGGTGTCCAGTCTGATTCCAAGGATTTAAGAAGCAGTGCCATGCCCAACAGGCACACGCATTAGGAAGTCATTGTGATTATAAATGAAATAAAAATATTTTTTCTCTCAATTTATATGGTTTTCTCCCCCCCCCCCCCCAAGAAATAATATGGCAGCCAGTGTTAGGACATAAATACTGAAGTCATTTGGACCTAAGTGTTTAAAAAAGGGAATCATTAGTTTGGTGGGGTTTTTGCCCAAATAAAGTAACTGCAAAAATTACTGAGTCACTAAAGATATAGTGAGCAGAGAATGTTTGGGGGCCTCTGGTAAGCCCTTGGTTTTAAAATATGCCTTTCAGAGAGTTAAAAACATACATCACCCTTCTGGCCAGCAGTTCCCAAAGGAATCCTTTCCAGTCAATCTATTTAGTTCAGCAAATGTTCCCTGAACCTTGGTGAGGAACCTTGTGCTAGATCAGCTTTTTTTCTTGGCACTAATATCCTTCAATATTATAAATCTTTCTGAAAAAAAAAAATCCAAGTAAAATAAATTTGGGACAGCCCTAGTTGGTTTGGCTCAGTGGCTAGAGCATCAGCCTGCATTCTGAAGGGTCCCAGGTTCTATTCAGGTCAAAGGCACATGCTCAAGTTGTGGGCTCAATCCCCAGCAGGGGGCGTGCAGGAGGCAGCCAATCAACAATTCATATTGATGTTTTTATCTCTCTCTCCCTCTCCCTTCCTCTCTGAAATCAATAAAAATATATATTTAAAAAATAAATAAATTTGGGACAAGCTTCATGTTAAACCTTCCTCTTGGAGACTCCTTGGTACGTTAAAAACCAGTGAGTTCTACAGAAAGAAAGCCCTTTTAACATTGCTTACCTTAGCACTATTCCAAACAGGATGGATCTCACCTCTTAGGCATACCTTCAGGCAGACAGAGTTAGGAGGTGCCAGTCTGCATGAAGATGGGGGTCTCATTCCTTATCCAGGACTTCACAGGGCAATTGAGTTAGTTCAGGTGGACTGTCTATGAGGCATGGGTAGAAACACTGGAAAGTCAGTGTGTCCCTGAGAGGTCAGAGGACCAGCTATCACTGAAGGCTGGAAAAGAGGGATGATGGTGGGCAGCTCAGATTAGCCTGGGCCATTCCCCGCAACCTGGGTGGGAATGATTCAAGCAGTAATCTTTGATCCTGTCCAGAGATGGACCATGAGCATCACAACCCTTTCTGAGGCCGATTCGCCACTCTGTTTATCATGGAGACCACACCACAGAAGAGATCCCCCACACTCTGTGCTCATCCCTTTCAAGCTGTCTTTGTTCACGGAGGCCTTGAAACCTGGAGC